ATACACACATATACACACACACACATACATACATACATACATACATACATACATACATACATACATACATACATACATACATACATGCAACGTGTACATGCGTTATTTTCTACACACACACATATATAGATATATATATATATATATGCATAACTCGGAAGTTCCAGCTATTGCTTTCACTAGGCTTCGACTTGGCTTAGAGCATTGCTGCAGGAGGAGTCCGTTTAAAACAAAGCCGACAGTTAAGTCGGCTTGTCGCGAATGCTTCGGGTCGGTGTTTCATCTTGTGCTCGCCTCCAACGTCAGGCGGCTCAAGCAGAGAATCGACGTTTATCAAGTGCGAAGGACGGCACCCGGGCTCTGGTTCAGGCTTGTGTGTTGAGGCTGGTTTCACAAGAAATGCTGGAAGTCCGGAGATGGAGATGGAAGAACCGGGTGCTGAAGGGCAATCTCGACCAAGCGACTGTGGCCGGGGCCATGAATTCGCTGCTGAAATTTCTAAACATTCGCTGCTCAGATGAGCCGTGCCTGGACTCCGGCATCATTCCTTTGGCAGACTTCTACTTTGATCTTCCTGCAGTCGTAAAGCCTCTGTTTGTGCTAGCTCGTACCTTGAAAGCCTTTAAATGCCTTGGGACGGGCTGAGGAGAAATTGCCTGTCTCGAAGGGCTGTCTTCAGCTAGAGTGATGCTCACACAGGCATGGTGACTGATTGTGACTGATCCCTGGAGCCATGCGACGAGTGGCTCGTGCGAGTTGCGGCTACCGTGCTTCCCTTTGCCGCACGCTTCTGACCTGTATGGCAGTACCTTCCACAGAAACCGTGGCCTGCAAAAAGCTGTGACATTGAGACAGAAGCACATTCGTCATCCGCTGGTTGCTTTCTTCCGCATGCCGGTTGCTTGCTTCCGCATCCTAATCCGTGGAAGGTTCTGCACAGCCCACTAAATTTTTTGAATTGTCAATCACTTTTCCAGGCATCTAGTGTTTAGAGTGCTCCATTGCGGAGCCAAGCTGCTCAGCGATGCCGGGCACATAATTCTCATTGTTCAGTTTTTGTTAAACAAGTCCTGCGCCTCCGCGGCCGGTTCAGAACACTTGCAGCTGCAGCTGCAGCTGCTTGAACACTGCCACGACCAAGCACCAACAAGGTACATGGTGACATGGACTTCTCAACTGCTCGGCTCGATTCTTTGCATGCAGACATTGGAGAACGGACCAGACTATTCCCGCAGCGTCAAGAGCATCCAAAATTGTAGATTCGTACAGACTGTATGACTGCATGGCAAATCTCAGCCCATTTACATTGCGGGCATAGTCGGCTAATTTTAACCAATGCTGCATCTGCCGCTCGAGATCATCCAGGGATTTGGGAAGCAGGAAATCGGAATCCTAACTTATAACCTTTCAAGAAACTTGCACATGGAGGCTTACATGTTCCTTGGCACTCGTATCTTCCCAAACCGACCACTGCAAGAGATCTCAATCCATCCACGTGTTAAAGGGATCAGGCTCGCGCATGCCGATTCCTGAGGACTATCGACCAGAAAAGCACAGTTGCAGCTCTGAGTGCACGGTGGTTGACGACACTCTCAGAAAATTCTCAGCCTGGAGGTCCGGGCGGCCGTACCATTGCCATTGTCACGGCGGCAAGGGACCTGCGCGCAGGCGCTGTCTTGAGTGGTCAGGCATCGGGACAGGAGTCGGCAGTACTCGTGGCAGAGCGTTTCGAGGTGAATGTTTGAGCCGCGACGTGGATGCCTGTGCAGACTCGCTGCTGCTGGACTGGGGCCTTGCTTCCACTACAAGGCCCAGATCGAGTTTAGAAACGTCTGTGTTGTGGGTGTCACAATGTTTCCATCCAGTGCATTAGAGAGTAGGACGCCTTTATGTCTGGCCTTCCTAGTCGCAGCCTGCACTCCTAGGAGAGATGACGTCTCCCTTCATGCGACTCGGATGCACTTGTGACCCACTTATGAACTGTTGTTTTAAAAACAACTCACTTACGTCTTTCAAGCCCGACCCGTCGATGCCTTTCCCGAGGTGGGTATCAAGAAGGGCGTGGCCCAGTCCTGGCAAGTCTCCACACTTAGAGCCCTGCAGGAATTGGAGCTCATGTCCTGGCGCTTGATTAAGTAGACAATGTTGATGGGCTCGGAGGAAGGAAAGAACATGTTGGAAGACAGATGCTTCCTTCTCCAAATTTGTGTAGTCTGCACGCTGAGGAGAGCTCTTAGATCTTCGGCCAGGCGACGATGGTGGTTGGGTGGCTTCGGCAAAGGTGCGGAGGACTGAAGTCCAAAACCGATCACAACCGCAAAAGACGCCTTCTGAAGCTTAGCTCCACACAGGAGTTCTTCACTTCGCAAGGCGCTGGACCCCAAACTCTGGGTGGCGGCACGCGCTATGGCCTTTACTGAGTCGGAGCGCGCGTGGAGAGAGTGTGAGGTTAGCCTCCCTTTTTCAAGGTATCCTCGGCTGCAGCTCCAAGGCCCAAGCCTTGGGAGCCGTCACACCGCCACGCTTCCTATGTCGGCACAGCGCTTCAGAAATTCGAGATTTCTACTGTAAAGATTTGAGATGTCTTTGCCGTTGAGTAATCGTGCGTGATAATTGGGAGATCCCCATCAAGATGTTATGCCACACATGCGGATTTCCGCTGTATTTAGACAGGTACTGTAGCTCGGCTAGTGGAGGAGTGCTGAAGACTGTCGCGGACATATCAGGACTGGGACGTGCGCTCGCGCGAAGAGATGTTACGTGCTGGGCTGGACGGCACTTGGCGCATTCAGTCTTTGCCACGGGTTGCAACCATGGCCTGTATGCCACCGGGCTCGTCCCCACCGAACTAAGCCCAATTCACACTCGAAGCATAGACTACGCGTAGTGTGTCTTAAGGTGTTTCAGCGGCCCATCGGCGGCGTGCCTTGTGGGTCCTGAAACAGGCAGTGCAGGCTGGCACCGTGCATAGATTAGGTGCCAGTGCTGTACATAGGGCGCAAGAGACTTGGTCACGGATGTGAGCAGCTTGTCGTGTTGTGAAGCCTTGTATAACCATCTATCACTGTCGCAGAGTGCCTTGGACGACTTCGAGACCAGAGCAGCAGATGATGAGGACTGGACCCAGCGATGTGAAGACTGTCCATTTAATCTGCTCGCAGGAGCCTTTGCTGAAGCAAGATTTCAATTGCTTTCGCTGAAGGAGGTGATCCGTCTCACGGAGGATGAGCGACAACGCGTGGCAGCAGCATACAGGCTTTCGGCAGCATCGTGCAGATGCTGTGGGGGTTACACAGCAAAGTTTTCGTGCGTCACAGAAGAGAACCCGAACAAACAGCAGCGTTTTCGTGGGAACTGTGGAAAGCAAGAGTTTCGAGTTACCTCGGTGCCCTGGGTTTGTCTTCGGGACTAGCCCAAAATTTCATCTTCCTCGGAAACAGGCTACTGCGACACTGACGCAAGCGTTGGAACCCCTAATTTGCCACAGGGTTACATAGTCGTAGAGCATCCAACCCGCTGCTTTCTTTTCGGGGTGGGCGTCGTTTCCGTATGGGCTTTGGTATCGGCATGGCTGATCAAGGTTTTGTGTGCTCTCTGCATGACCTGATCTGCACAGCATCCTGCCCTAATCCGGGTCGTATCTGGGAGCAACATGATATAATCCAGAAGCATCCCAACCCTCACAGATCCTGCAAGATCTACGAGGGTATGTTTTTCGGGGATGAATCCTGCGAGAATCGAGACATGTGCGGCAGACACGGGAACCCAAGAACAAAAGCCCAACCTGTGCAGATGTTCGTGTTTTCCGGCCTCCAAGTAGAAGTGCATATCCCAATGGGGCTGAGAAGGCTGGGCAAGAAGCGGATCCTCTCAGACGTCCTTGCGTTGCTCGTGGCACCCTCAGTCCCAGAGACACTCGTCACTAGTCAGCCTGTGAGAGGCAGTCTGAACCCAGTTCTAGTCCCTACAGGCCTGTGGCACCGTACGAACAAGAGAGGAGCAAGTGAGATAACCGGATAACATGTTTGGACTGGGCCGCAAGGCTTCTCCCCCGTGCGAGTCCGGAGCGCTCGAAGACATTTAACCCATTCCTGGTAATACGGTAATACCTGGTAGACGCGACACCGCCCGTCTGCAAAGGAAAAAGCCGATGCGAAGATCGCACGGAGACGAGCTTTGCTCGAAAAGGACTGTGCACGGTCTAAAGGAGGTGTTAGTAGCTCCAGCGTGTTTTAATACTTCTGGACTCCTGGACCCAGTGATCATACTGTGGCCACGCCAACATGGAAACCAACAGTCTTAGTAAAAGATGCTGTTCACTCGCAGGAGACGAGACTGCCTGCAGTGGTGACCGGCAAGCGCAAGTCAACCAAAGGCAAAGGTTTCGGCTGAGCTCTCCGGGCCGGAGAGGGCCAGGATGGCCAAGAAGAGCCGGCAGAGCAAGCAGAGCAAGACGCTTTGCATCGCTTTGCCGAGCTTTTCCTCGTCTGTGTCACACATGCACTGGCGCGGTGGCAGAGAGACATGAAATGGCCGTTTGATGCATTGCAGGCTCTCTGCACGTCTGAGCCAGTGCTACATGACATAAGTTTGGATGGTCACCGGACTGTCCGAAGCCCCTTTGAGACAAGCAGATTAGACAAGAAGGGTGGAAGAGTTCAAGACGCACTGCGAAGGCCATGGTCCTTTTCGTGCTCAGCGACCCGCGGCTCCCCTTCGGTCAGCTGCGGATGCGCACCGCGCCGTAAAGGGTGGAAGGGACTTGATGGAGTTCTGGTCTTGGGCAACATGAGTGTCCGATACTGAATAGGGCATAGAGGCCGAAGATCGGACGAGCATAGCTCCGATCGGATTGCACAGGTAGTGCTTTCGACAGCACAAACCCCTGGCTGAGATCCGCCTACGCTGCATTAGGCGCAGCTTCACCGGTTAGGATCATGCCTAGGATTGGGATGCTTAGCACCGGCTCAGAACTGCGATGATAGAGTGACAGACATGACAGGCCCCGGCAACCGAGTGACGTGTCTTTACGTCGGTGCCGGATCGAGCATGCGGTCACAGGCCTCGTGACGTCGCAGTTTGTGCATAGATTGAACGTGTACTCCGTCAAGCTCTGCAGAGCTGCAAGGAGAGTCCGTGAAGTCGTGAAGGAGAAACGCAACTCTAAAGCTTGGCAGCCTTTTCGCCGCAGCCACTCATAGCACAGGCGCTCTTGGCTGCGGAAGAGGAGGCATTGCCAACGGTGCTTTGCAATGCGGCCACCGCCATCGAGGCGAAGCGAATCATGCGAATCCGACGCCTCTCCCCGGCCCCAGTAGTGCGTTTCGTCTGCGCTTCCCGGCTTGCACAGGTTTGGCTAAGTGAAGCAGACCTTGGTTTGGTCATGCGCTTCGTGAACCGGCCCGAGGCAGAAGAGTCAGAGCGTGCAGCGTAGCGTGCACACAGCTCGACCCAGAGCTCCTTGGCAGGTCTACGAGATGCCACCCGGATGGCCCTATACGCATCAGGCCGCCGCATGTGCGTCCAGCTTGACCTCCAAGTGGCAGGATTTGGAAGGTATTTCGGAGCCTTCACATGTCTCATGAGACCTCGTCCTGGCTCGTCCTCTCCCACCTATCAAACGATCACCAAAACACCGACATTGGTTTTCATGATTTCGTTGTTAGCTGTTGTTAGCTTGCCATGCCCAGGTGTTAAAGGATGGCCCGAAGAAGGCCTTGAAGCCGGCAGATGAGGCACAGCTGCACGGACGGTTCCTCTGTGGCGCGCGCTTTCTCGGACAGATCAAACAACGAGAGCTCTGCAGCCTTTTTCGGAGATGCTGTGCGAAGCATTGGAGGAGGCCACGGAGGTGGAACACACAAATGGTACCAGCAGCGACGAAGGCAGGAGTGCTCAGGAAGTCTAAGTCGCCAGACGACAGTACCCGGCGGGTGATGAAATTTTGGTGCGGGTCATCTGCAGATTTTGCCATCCATTGAGCTGTAGTTTGTTGGAGGTGCGGCACTTGTGCCACAGCCGGCACCCCAGCCCCGAGGGAACGAAAAGCTAATTACTCGTACCCAAAGGCCCAAAGGTATCCCAGGTCTTAAGAGATGGTCATGAGGGCTTGCTGTCGTGAGTGCGGTGCTTCAGACTGAGGTCCTTGATTGGTGCCAGCCCGGGCGAGTATGCTCAGCTCCCGGAATCGTCTCCAACCATGCCGCCATGCTGTATCATGAGCAGCACGCGGTCGGCATCGTGCGAGGTCTTGTTTGACTTGAACCGGGACAATGTCGCCGACATTCCAGATGTCGTCCAGCACCTAGTGTGCAGCAAGTCTTTTGACATGATCCGCGCAAGCTGAAAGCAATCAAGCCATAGCTTGTGGCGAACTCAGACGGTGGAGCTTTTGTCGCCTGCGTCCGCCTTGGCTGCTGGGCGCCTGGAATGCGGTGAGCAGAGCTCCAGAGCTCCCGAAGCCCAGCACGGAAACAAGCGGAAGCCCGAAGTCGCTCGCGATTTTGACAGCGGAGACAGTACCATCTGATCAAGACTCCTTTTAACACCCGACTGGAATGACGTGCAAAGGCCGAAACCTCCCGAAAGCATCTTCGCACCTGCTCCTATTCCTTGCGACTGCCCAGGCATTGCAAGAACGGCCGCCGCAGAGTGAGGCCATCATCGTCGCTGGACGCAGGCCTGGTTTTCGAGTTCTACGAGCCTCGGGCTTCCCGAGCCCCGAAACCACGTTCAGTGTATATTGATGTTCTGATGGGTGGCAACATGGCATGTTTTCTACTTCGCTTATCTTGGTCCTTGCAGCAGCCTTAGAGTTATGGTTAGCAGTATCTAGAAGTCGGTTCTTGGAAGCAAGAAGCCGCCAGCCCCAACTTTAAAGCAACCGAGGTAAGGATAGAGAAAGGAGCAATAGCATTCAGACAAGCCAGGTTCAGCATGAAGAAGCCAAGTCCAAGATAAGAAGAGAACCTCCAGCATTGCCAGCACATGCACGACAAGCGGTCACCGTCCTTCAGGAAAACGGTGTGGGTCAGCCTTTTTGGTGTATGATAGGGACCATTTCCCGACATGAGGCCAAATGCAATCGCAAATGGTGAGGGTGTAGATACGGCCAACTTCCGATGGTGTGATTCATCTTTGACAGCCTGCTGCACTTCCGCAGGTATGCATCCTTCATGACCCTCAAGAATGCGCTTGTGGAGATCGTGCTGGAGCAGGATCTGTGCAAGGGCAGCCTGCCAGCCTCACAACCGTGCATTCACAGTTCAGAAAGATCCCCGTTTAGGATGAGTTCTGCTATTTGGAATCACTTGGGCAGGGTGGCGGGATGTTTGCCTCGTTTGTTTTCAGTTTTGTTGTGTTTTTCCAGCCGCCTTGCAATCAAGCCAGCCAGCAAGCAAGCACGCAAGCACGCAAGCACGCAAGCCAGCCAGGAAGCAAGCAAGCAATCCCGCAAGCCAGCAAGCGAGCAAGCAAGCACGCAAGCAGGCAAGCACACAAGTCTAAGCCGTGCAAGCTCGCTTCAAAATAACATCCTGCAGCATCACAAACAGAACACGTATGCCGAGTATGGATCGTTGCAGAACTCCTGATACAGACGTTGTAGTTGCAAACGGGGCGGGGCTGCGGCTGTGCCACCTGCCGCGGGCAGCAGGCTGTGGGTCGCGCGGGTCGCGCGCCCGTGATAAGTTTGGGGCGGGTGTGACAAATGTGCAGAATCGGAATCGCTTAACGGGTGGACAGGGGCCGGGGAGGCTTGAAACCTGACCATATGTGACATGATGATGAACCGGAATCGCCAATTGAGGGGCGTGATCAAGATATGTGATGAACCGGAATCACTCAATCAGGGGGCGTATGTAACTTTATGTGATGCATCGGATTCGACAAGTGTGGGGCGCGCCTGAGATAAAAGATGAATCGGAATCGCATGGAATCGCCAATTGCAGGGGCGTGTTTAAGATATATGATGAACCGGAATCGTAAAATGAGGAGAATTTTTAAGATTGTATGTGACTAACCGGAATCGCCCGATGATGGGGTGTGCTGAAGCTATATGATGAACGTCATCGCCCAATGGGGTGACGTGCTTAGGATAGCTGATGACCCGGAATCGCCGAATGAGGGGGCATGTTTAAGAGATATATATATATATATATATGATGATGATGATGAACTGCAATCGCCCAATGGGGGGGTGCCGTGTTTAATTTGTATGAGATAATACGGTGTAGCCTAAAGGGGGGTGTTTTCGATTTATGACGAACCGGAATCGCCCAATGGGGGGAGGGGGGCGTGATCAAGATATATGATGCACCGGAATCGCCCACTGAGGGGGAGTGTTTAAGATATACGTATGATGAACCCGGGGGGGGGGTGTTTAAGATACATGATGAACCGGAGCCGCCAACTGGGCGGGGTATTTACGGTATATTCTGAACCGGAATCGCCACATGAGGGCCCGTGTTTCAGACATATGATGAAGCTGAACCAGAATCGCCACATGAGGGGGGGGGGGGTTAAGATATATGATGTACCGGAATCGCCACACGGGGGGTGCTTAAGATATATGATGAACTTGCGATGAATCGGAATCGCCCCAAGGGGGGACGTGTTTAAGATACATGTTGAACCGGCATCGCCAAATGACGGAGTGTTTAGAGATATGATGAACCGGAATCGCCAAATGAGGGCGTGTGTCTAAGATGTATGGTTCATATGATGACCTCATGAGGGGACGCACGTAAGATTTATGATGAACCGGAACCGCCAAAATGAGGAGCGTTTATAAGATGTTATATGAGCGGCCGTCAATTTTATGGAAGAGCAGAGCTAGTCGACAGCGGACATGAGATGTGCATGAATCGTGGTTTGATCTGCAGAACGATAGGGGACACGCAAAAAATGATAACGTGCGTGTGCATGTGAGCGACTCCGACTGGCGTTTCTGTCTGAAAAGCTAGACTGTCTGTGAGTATTACAGGTCAACTACAAGCGATCACAATCCAGGCAGGAGCCGAAACGAGGTATTTCCAGTACTAAAGTTGTACTGCAAGCAACTTCAATCCAGGCAGGAGCCGAAACGAAGCATTTCCAGTACTAAAGTTGCATTACAAGTGAGCACAGTCCATCCAGGAGCCGAACCGAGGCATGTCCAGTACTAAAGTTGTACTGCAAGCGAGCACAATCCAGCCAGGAGCCGAAACGAGGCATTTTCAGTACTACAGTTGTACTACAAGCGAGCACAATCCATCCAGCAGCATCCCGGAGCATCCCGACATGGGTTCTGATCTGCAGAACGATAGGGGGCACGCAGAAAACGATACCCCCCAGATCAATGTCCCTTCTTCGAGCCAGTAATTTTGACCGTGGCTCATATGATGATCCGCGTAAGATACAATATGATTCGGAATCGCTCCATTGGGCAGGGGCGTGTTTAAGTTAATCTATATGATGGACCAGTATCACCCAACAAGGGTGGGAATCGCCAAACAAGGGAGGGGGGCGGGGGCGTGTTGAAGAGATATGATGAAGCGGATCGCCAAATGAGGGAGGCGTGTTTAAGATATTGTTATATGATGAACCGGAATCGCCCAATGAGGGGGGGCATGTTTCAGATATATGGTGAACCGGAATCGCCCAATGAAGGGCGTGTTTGGGATACGTGATGAGCCGGAATCGTCGAAGGAACTGGGCTGGTTTAAGATATATATATATATATGATGTACCGAAATCTCCTTGGATCCCTAAGTTGCCGCATCGACATCAAAGCCCTGATCGGCCCCAACCCAAGCGAAACTCCTTGCGGGTCAAACCATGAACCGAGCTTAGATCCCTAAACTGTGCTATCGCACTACACAGGGGCCACTCTGTCAAAATACCGGGAACACAGGGAAAGCGACTAAGATTCAGAATAACATCAAAACATACAGAACTAATCTGCTGACCCATGGGCAGGAGCCCGGGATGCATCTTCGCTTCGAGGCTCGGGACTTCGAACTTCGGAGCACTTCTGCAATTTCTGTTCCGCTCAGAGGATGATGAGGACGCCATCAAGACTCTGCTGAGCTACCATCCCGATGCAGACAGGCCACGTGGTGACAACGCGTCACCAGCAGCCTGACACCGATGCCTGACAGGCTGCTGGAAGATCTGGTGGCAATCAAGGTGGATTGCTCCCCGGTGGATGATGATACCAGGCGTGCCACAGTACCACAAACCACACTAACAGACGCTGAGCCAATGTGGCCGCAGGTGCCTTTGGGTGATAAAATTCGACGGGTACGAGGCGCATCGGGTCGGAGGTTCGCTGGGACTCTTGCAACACGGTTGCTGGATTCACCCTCATGGGGGCACTTTCAGAGGAGGCTTAAGAAGTAGCTATAGTAGGTGTTTTCGGCATGCCCACCTGTAGTAGTTGTTGCTTTACTGGGTACAGGTTGGTGACTGTAGTGTTACAAAGGTTTTTCAAGGCTGGACGCCCAGCTACAGATACTTGTGTGCTAAGCCACGCGTCCCAGATGATTTGAGAGCAATCACTTATCAACATTTCGGAAAGCTGGATTCGCACTAAGAGTTTCGACAGGGACTAGCAGATTGGCTTGAGGGACCAAGTGAAACTGTGCTGATGCTTTGCAGCGGGCTGACGGTAGTGATCGGATTGGCTCAGGAGGATGTCAGCCTCCGGGAGTGTCTCGAAGGTGCGGCTGACAGGCCCCCGCCCCCCGCCGCCCGCCTGACCCTTCGGCCTTCGGCAGGCCTGGAGCGGGCCCTTAGCCTCGGCGCCGAGGAGGGAGGCCACGCGGCAGTAGGCGTTGGCATGGCTGCGGCGTTCGATTTTGGAAGGATCCCCAAAGCGCTTCGTGCCACGATTGGGGCCTGCCCGCCGGCGAGAAGATTTCAGGTGCTCCTGCCTTCGTGGAAGTGCCTGAATGCGACCTTCAAACCCTTCAACCTAGAGAGATTGGAGTTTGGGCTTTCTGCCGTCGCGGGCTATCAGTGCGAAACTTCGAGTCGTTCTGCCAGGCCTTCCCGCAAAGGCCGCAGAGGTCCAAGGGAGACATGAGCCATCTTGAGCTGAAGCGCTGCTTCGCACATCGTTGCACCCAGCACCTCGTCGGTGATCGACGCAGCTGGTGAGAGCGTCCTCGTCCCGAGAAGTGCGGATATCAAGGCCCACTTGCAGGTTCACGGGGACTTGAACAGTAAGTATATTAATTATAAGCACCTTAATTGGGGCTGTAAGTAACTATAAGTATATTCACCGTATCTATAACCCTATAGTTAATAAGTCCCACGAACCTTTAAGCACGAATGAACCACAAGGCGCTCAACACTAGAGCAGAAAAAGACCGCAGACCGCAGACTCAGGTCTGACGGTAGAACAGAAGCAAGATACTTGAACTCTAAGATGTGGCGGCACTTTCGACGAGGGACTTCGGCATTTGGAGGATGTCTCCTTCAGTCAGCCTGCGCGCTCTCGGTGGCTGCGTGCTGCGGCCTAGTAGCGCCTTTAGCATCCTGTAGCCTCAGCGCTTGCGTTTGGCTGAATGGTCACTACAGTGTCGGTGTTGGAGATATGCAATGCTGAAGCCAAACTTTGAGCTGGAGGGGCCTGTGTAGGAATGCCGCATCGTATCGGGAAGGAGCTTTGTCTCTTCATGCCGCGAAGAAAAGCTGGGGACTGCTTCGGCCAAGCACGGCCAGTTGAACGCCAACTTTCGAAGGGGGGCACAAGACGACCGTTGCATACGTGCACACGTCAGAGCTGCTCTGCTTCACACCGGACCATAATATGTGGTTATGGCAAAAGATCTGACGATAGCCACAGCACCATCGTGCTGCCTGCAGGACCAAGGAACCTTCGTCATCTTCATGAGTGATACGATGAGCTATCGCTACGTGCCGCGACCAAGCAGCATTGATTCCTCTCAGCTCTTGATAGGCGCTCTGCAGTTTTTGATCTCGGAAGGCTAAACGACTCGAGCCTCGCTCCTCTCGGCCAGCACATACGTGAGTTGCCGCCCGGCTGGGAGGCCGGCACCGTCGGCACCGTGCCCTGGCTGTGGCTGTGCAGTGTGGTCGCGCGAGGTCCGCGGCGGGACGCCGCCACAGTTGGCGCCCAAAGGCTACCGCCTCGGCCGTGCCTACGCGACTCTCGAGGCGCTGGCTTTGGCCGGACATTTCAAGACTTTCTTCAGGTGGTGTGCTGACTCCTACAGTGTCTTGTGCGATCGTGTCAAAAATGTCGTCTGTCGATCTAGCTGTTCATGTGTTTGGTTTAATCTTGTCCGCATGTCTACGTATCCGTCCCCCCATGTCTATAATTCTGTCTATCAGCGATAACTTGGCCTTTCGGTCGGCTTTGCTCATCATCTGTCTACTGGGTCTATTCAGGTGGAACCTGGCAGTCAAAGGGCATAGGTTTCATCGGGACTTGAAGCAGGATGCGTGGGCTGCGCACCTGGAGCAGCAGTTTCACAAAGCGCAACAGGGCACGAGACCCAGCAGGCGGGAAGCGTTTTCTCTGTTTGTTCTCGGTGGGTGCCTTGTACTATTACTATGCATAGCGGAAGCACCTCTTCACGAATGCACCTGGTGTGCGGGTGCCGTTTAGATTCAGAGCGCACAAGGGCGTCGACAGCGGATTACGTCGGGTTTTGCCTTGCTTGTCCAGCTGAGTGCTTTCGGCAGTTAATTAGGTGTGAGGCTGCGCAGAGCATCTAGATATCCGACTGGATCTGGCCAGCTCTCTTTCAAGCTCTGCGGTCAGCATGTCAACGTCCTATTCATGGCAAAGCTAGCACATCCGACGGTTCTCCTTCTATCAACGGGGAGTAGTGGCGCTCCGCCCGAACTGTTTGGAGGCCGGAGGCTTCACCGACACAGCTCAAAGGCCAGACGACTTGCCGTTTGGGAATGCTGATCAGCTTTCTGAACTTCCGGCGGTTTTCAAAGGCAGCCCTGCTTCCTCTCCACCGCCGGTGGGCATCGCGAGGAGCCAGGAAAGACGTGCGCAATTTGTGACAGTCACCCTGCCTGAGGGTATCTGCAGCCAGGTCCAAGCCCACAGATTGGAAGTCTTAGTCCTACTTGTTAGCAATGTGCAGGTGCTCAAGAAGCACAGATCACATATACAACCTAGTTGCAGTTCCTAGATCGTAACCCGCTGAATTCCAAAGCTACAGTGAGTTGAGCCTTCTGCATGCTGTCGCACTAGCTAGGTAGCTTATGAGAGTGCCTTGCCAAGCTATGCATCGCAAGTGTCGGAGCCTGGCTCCGTGGCTTGCTTTGCTTGCTTTGCTTGCTGGTCAGACTTGGAGGACTTTTGCCTTCCTCTCTCTGCATGGCACACCGAGAGCGAGAGCCAGCCGAGCAGGCCGAGCCTCAAAGACGGATGTTTCTGCTGCCCCAGCCCCCGGCGGTGTCCTTCCAAACGGCGAGCTGCGAGAAGCCTATGAGCCCGACACGCACCTCGATGCGAGCGAAGGTCGAGTTGAGATTTTTCCTTCGCCAATCTACCGGGCTAAACTCCGGCCAAGCGACGAGGAGGTTCGCACATTAAACGACGAGATAGCACTGAACTTCCGGCGGCTGATGGTGAGGGACGAGAAAGGTATCGAGTACTCGAAGACGCACTATGCAGGAGGCTACACGTCCTATTTTAGCCTCCCTGCACTTCAAAAGTGGGTACCTCCCATCGCAACTCTCGAGGAGTGGCTGAGGCCCCATATTCAAGAGTTCAGGCAGCATGCCATGCTTCAAGACGGACCAGAGCTTTTCATGACGGATTGCTGGGCAAATGTCATGGGTGACGGGACAGAGCATATGTTCCATCAGCATAAGAAGTCCACCATAAGCGGTACCTACTACGTGCAGACTCCTAACGGCTGCTCGGGTCTACTGTTCGAAGATCCGCGCTTAGACCGGACAGTTGCGAAGCAATCGCGTCGAGTCGTCGAGTTTCCGGCCGTGGCCGGCTTCGTGGTGCTCTTTGAAAGTTGGCAAAGGCACAAAGTTCCGCCCAACACCGGAAAGGACGGTCAAGACCGCAACTTGCCTGTCACCTTGAAGACATGAGCCTTTCGGGTGCATCGGCTGGATCCTTCGAAAGCCAGACTAGTGGTGCTGAAAGGTGTCGTGGGTGTTTCTAAAGGCTGAACTGCGAAATGCCTGCATCCCTTCATAACAGCCGACAGTGGCTTTCACAGTCGAATTGCACACTAAGCTCCGACAGCAACCGGGCGACAGAGACAATGAAGCCAGCCATCGCACGTAGGTGATGCAGCAGACCAATTGAGAAAGTTTGCTTAGCAGCGCACATTCGCAATCCATGTCGAGCGAAAGCTAAGCTGGAGCCACTCAATAGAGGCCGAAGCCCAAAAGGGATGTGCCGAAAACGCGTTGCAACGAAGAGGCAAAGTGTGGTCCCTGTTTGGGTCCTGATTATAATACAGCACCTATTATTTAGGGTACCCCAAAAGAGACCATTATTTTGACAACTACCCATGTGTGATGTGCACCCCTAGTCTTCCCTGTGCCTGAGGCATCAGCGTCAGCTTCAACTATCACTGGCGGTATGAGGATCCCACAAAGATTCCGCTGGAGTAACGCAAGAAGCACTGGAAAAAGCTGACGGCTGCCGTTATGTTTATGTCTTGCTTGCATTCGGTGGACTTAGTTAGTTGCTATTATGGACTCACGACGTCTAAGTGCGTCCGGAGTTGGCAGGCGAATTGACAGAGTAACGAGACGGGAGGAAGGCGGTACTCCGTTTCTTGTGGAACAAATCATGCAAGGAATGGTGTCAAGCCATCGGGCTGCTCATGATTCAGTAGAATTGCATTGAATGAGTGGTTTGGCTGTACTGCTCACCACATGCCATTCAGCTCAGGTGAAGCCAACGAGCAACGGCGTTTCCTTCCAGGCTACAATACAAGTGCCAATAGAGCTCGAAGCATATGTCCGAAGCCAGGTCACATGTTTTTCCAGTTCTACAGTTGTGCCGACGATAGAGCCCGAGCGCTGACATGTATTTTGCCGGCAGGTGCAGCCGGAGTTGATGACAGTTGATGCCACAGTCTCGGCCGTGACAGAACCGCCTGTGATCATTGAAAATCCAAGCCTCGCCGGCATGTGGAGTCCCGTGTTTTTGCACCGAGTGCAGATAGATGATATATGTCCGAACAAGTGTAGATGTTGAAGTATGAGAAAGTTTAAACTCATAGGTCATAGGCCGCGTAACCACTCATTGTTGACATAACATGTACTACTTAGAGGCCCAGGGGACTTAGTAAGCAGGTTATAAGTAGAGTTGTAATTAGAGTGCTAAGTACCCTAGATGGAGTTACCCCAATTATAACACCTTTTATAACCGACTTACTAGGGCCTCCAAGTATGGGAAACTTCGGTTCGATTGCCCAGGTCACCTTGCTGGATCGGGAGGCCCTGATCGCCAGGCAGCTTTGCGCCGGTTTTTCACACCTGGCCATGGCACGTACTTCTTCGCAGAACACTTCTGAAGCACCTAACCGGATGCCTTGCTTGCATGCCGCATCTACGACCTCCAAGTCTGAGCATCACTGGACCTTCGTAACGTGGCCCACCAGGCTGCGAGAGGCTGAAGCGCGCAATGAGGCCAGGCCTCGTTGAGCTCGAAACACCTCCATGGACCGGTGTAGAAGGCATCCGGGCGCCTCCACGCCCGTTGGCATTGAGCTTCCCAGATCAAGACGGCATGTAGGCCCCGCTAGAAAGCTTTCAACAGACAAGAACATCTCCTTGCGACGAGCCCTACTCTAATGTGCAATGGAGTTCTAGACAGCTCCCTTGGACTGAGGCACCCATGGCCGGCACATTAATAAAGAACCCCCGAGAGCATAAAGCTTCGGACACTGTGCTCTCTCAAGTGCATGCCAAGTCGGTCAGCGGAGGTCGCAATGCCAGAACAAACATACAACAAAGACTTTGGGAAACATACTCCAGCAGCAGTCGTCAGCTAGGTACCACTTGTAAGGGGATCCTTTCGCGGCATCGCCACTGGAAGCTCTCGTTGGCATTGTTACTGTCGTGCCCACTACAACACAACATGTCGCTTAACCTTAGAAGGAGGACCCTGAAGCTGCAAGGTTTCCGCCGTAGCCGTATGTTGAGAACGGGTAAGAGCAGGGGCCTTCCAAGCGCGAGGAGCGATAGACAATGCTAGTGTTGTGTACAAGCTAAGCCAAGCCAAACCAAGCCAAGCCAAGTAGTAGCCCCTGACTGGTAGTTTAGCAGCACTGGGAGTACTAGTAGCAGTAGCAGCAGCAGTAGTAGTAGGAGTAGCACCAGTAGCAATAGCAGTAGGAGTGGCAGTAGCAGTAGTAGCGGTAGTAGCGGTAGTAGTAGTAGTAGTAGTAGTAGTAGTAGTAGTAGTACTGGTGGTGGTGGTGGTGGTGGTAGTAGTAGTACTACTACTACTACTACCACTACTACTACGACTAGCAGTGGGCGCAAGCTTGCTCCTGTGATGCCCCTCTCTTCCGGAAGGGGGGTCACCTGTGTCTTTTTTTGGGGGTTCACTTGTGTCTTTTTTTGGGGGGTCGCTTGTGTCTTTTCTGCTGGTTCGGAAGCAACAGTCTCGAACGAAAGGCCCCCCGGGGGGGCCTCTCTTCCAGCCACCCGCGGCTTGGAACAAACCTGCGGGAAGTAACGAAGTAAAGAAACACACCATGAATGAATGAATGAATGAATGAATGAAT